TGTGGGGGGCTAGCGAGTAGTTGACAGGGAGCCTAATGTATTTGTAGGCTACCCCCTCAGAGGAGAAGCCTAGAAGTTCCTGCTACTGTGTCACCTCGACATGAAATAGGCGTCTTTCAGGTTGATGGTGGTGAACCAGTTGCCAGGCTGCACTGGCTCCAGCATTTTCTTGATCATCAGCATGTGGAAATGCCCTCTTTTTCATTATGCTGGTTCAGGTGGCGGAGATCCAGAATGGCTCAGAAGCCTCTCGTCTTTTTGGGGACCAAAAAGTACATGGTGCAAGACCTCTGTGCATGTCATGCACAGAGATGCCCTATGACAGCCTGCTTCAGCAGAAGTTGCTGGATCTCGGCGGCCAGGAAGTCCACTTCCTCTTGAGAGGATAGACTGGCTTCCATTTTCCAGGAAAACTGGTGGTATGCAGCAGAACTGAAGAGAGTAGCCTCGTCTCAGAATGCTGTCCACCCAGCTTGTCAGCATGCAGCGGCGTCGCCATTCTGCATGAAAATGTGTACACGTGAACAAAGCATCTTCGGCACTCTCCACCGCCAAACTTCCGGCTAGCGAGGAAGAAGCCCAGGTCCTACTACCGTCTCGCTCAGATGCCACCAGAAGAGCAACATGGGACATGGGCTTCTGTCCCAGTGGTTTGAATAGCGCAGCAAAGACCCGGGCCCTCCCACTGTCTCTCTCTCTCTCGAGCTTAGCAAGGAGAGCAGTGTGGGCCCTAGGTCGGATCATTAGCTTAGCACTGGTGAACTTGCAGTTTTGTGGAGACTGAAGCGCATAACGGAGGGAGGAGGTCTGGTGGTGTGCATCAGCCTCTGTCCCTCTGTCACCCTTATTTTTTATTTATTTAAAAAAATAAATAAATAAGGCTTAGACTTTTTCCAAGGGCTGCAATCGAAAAGGCCGACTTGGCCTTGAACGCACCACAGCCGGTGTGACTGTGGTTGACACGTCACCCAGTGTTGACGTCAGCCTCAAGCTCACAGCTTCCATGTGAAGCAGCGGCAGGGTAGACAGCCTCGTCTGCTGCAACAGGCGCTACGAGCCGCTCGTGGAGGAAACAAAACCAACCGAAGCAGCTAGCGATCTCTTTCGTCCCGCTATACCGAGAGAGACCTGACTTTGGCTGTCTCTCTCCGGCTATAGCGGACTAGCCTAGCTGCGCTGTGACCGCTTGGCGAAAAAGATGTCTGCAGGGCAGCGAGTCTGTTTATGTAACACGCTTTCACCACCGGTGAGCTAGTAATGCGCCCGTGCAAGTCCTCGTGGGCACGCTGGGAATGTTGGGAGTTACAGTACACTGCTACCCGATTTCCACGGTAAGAACAGCTCGTTTCTCGGCTGTCACGTCATGGAAATGGACCATTATGGCTGTGCAGACTCGGCGGTCAGGCTAGCGAAGTGGACGCCCGGGCCTCACCCACCCTCTCACTCGGTTCTGACCGGGAGAGCGGTATGGGCCGCGGGGCGAACTGTTAGCTTGGCGTCGGTGAGCGTAGCGGCGCGTTCAACATGGCTAGCTCAATGGGATGGGGTTGGTGGTGGGGAATTAGCACTTTTAAGAATGTAATGTGTTTCTAATAAACAGTTTAACATTCACAAGCATCACCACAGTGTACACACAAGCAGCACATGTTAGAACAGTTTGATGGGAGAAGTTAACTTAGCTCTTTGAGGAATGTAATTAACATGTTTTACTCAAAAAACAGTTTCCACATTCTCAAAAGCCTTACCATAGTTTTACACAAGCAGCACATGTAAAACAATGGCGTCTTGAACACCAGACAGGAGATTGTGGCAGCGTCAGCAGGCCTCTCTCCCTCCATAACAGTCACTTGGCCAGTCGCTCCCTTCCCCAGCCGCAGGTCGGCTGGCGGGGGGTGGGGACCTGGACTCGTCTGGGCAGGACATGGGTCACCTCGCCTGGGTGCAAAGATAATTTTTAAAGTGGTGACTCCATCCGTGGAGGTGGTGAATTGGTAAGCAGTTCGCCGTTTGCTGAAGAAAAAAGGATGCTGAGGCAGTCTGTCCTTCATCCTGAAGGGAGCATGAAAGTTGTTGAGATTTTTCACTAAAAACATGGTTCAAAATATGAAAAAGGAAGTGCAAATGACAAATGATTGGTGGAATGCCAGAATAAAGGTACATGTCAGTATGTAATAAATTATAAGCAATAAAAAAAGTACAGAAAGATGCATCAGTGTTACTATGTCACAGCAGTAGACAATTTAATAAGTTGTAGGGCAGGACCACATTACTATCACACATATATAAATGCCTGTTTGTTCTCATTTTCCGTGACCCACGCTCCTTCCCTCATTTCTTTCTCTCCTCTCCCATAGCCTCTCTCGTATCCTGCAGATACACTCATGGGGGTCTCCCAAGCCTGGAAGCCATGGTGGGTCCTCCACAAAGCCTTTCCCACATCACAGCCGTAATCCTGTTCAACCATTCCCATCTGCTTCTCACTTCTCATACATTTCATATTCAATAAACACTTAGATTCACACCTAAGTAGATGGCGTCATCCCTGTTTGTCAACTGTTCCAAATTACAGAAATGATATAGAATAAAAATATGAAAAATGTATTAGGGGTGCATCATTAAAGGACGCAAGTAACTCTGAGCTGCAGGTGTTTCAGCACACACCATTCGACAAACATGTCCAGAACACTTGGTCTCTGCTGATACACCCCACAGTAGCAGTCCGAGGTGTAAAGGGTAAACAGTACAGGAGACAGGAATATCCCCTGTGGAGTTCCGGTGCTGAAAAATTAAAACACCTGTTTCTATAACACAAAATTATGTTTACTTTGTGGTCTTTTAAATGTTTTTTTTTTGTGAAACACCGTTTCTCTAAAAATTATTAAAACGTGACAAAGGAACATTATTTTCCGGTTTAACAAATTACAACTCACAGAAATATGTCTTCTGTGAGGAATTGTGAGTAGGTATTGTTTAAGTATGTTATGTGATCTATAATATCACTTTACTTTATTTTAGGGATACCATTTGTGATTTGAGAGTTCATTAAGCCATCCTGTTCAATTTTAGATTCTTTATCACATGTTCTTTCATTTATCATGCAGCATCAGAACTAACATTCTGGGCTCTGCATGCTGGTTGCCACGCAGTTTCACACAGTGTGGGTTTTCCAACTATTCCTTTTTTTCTCCCCAACAACAGAGCTTGCTAAATCTGATAAAACACGCTTGAATCAGTCTGGATAATCTCCTTAGATAAAAAGCTTTGCCTGTAGGGTAGTTTCTGTCTTTTGTTTTTAGTATTTATACCCTCATATTTTCAAGTAGCAGTAAAAATAGATGAGATGTTGCCTCATTGACACAGTTAACACTCCAACATCCAACCCTCGTCATCACTGTTCACGTTTCTGTTATATCACAGCTCTCTTGTGTCACCCTCCTTGGAGCGTTGTAGCTTCTAACACTGCTCTTTTCCCCTAAATCAATGCAATATAGTGCTATATGTGAAATAAATGTGGCACTTGATGTAATTGCCTGAGGAGCACAATCACTTCCCAAATAATGTATGAAAACATTATATGCTAATTACTACAAACACTGCATAAATGTAATTTCTTGCTATATGAAAATGACTGGCAGTCATGAGCATGTGCACATCCACACACATGCTAGGTGTACTCCAGAAGTTAGAAAATATCCATGCATGTCTGTCTTTTCTATTGATCACAACAATACTGTGCTATATACATATAAGCAGTGCCTTGCGGGAAGTTCTGTTCGCTCTGATCTTTGGAAAACTTGTGTAAGAATCCTTTTGAGTTTACATGTATGGATGTTTCCCAGTATGTAATATCTACAATTCATATTATCCATTCTGTATGGGTAGCATACCCTCAGCCCTTGAGCTGTGTAGTTTGTGCATTTGTACATGCATGTTTCCACATGCTAGAGAGTCTGTCCCGGCAGGCCTCGGATCAAGCTTTGTTACAGCAGCAACCACAGTGCTGATGTACATTTGGGAATGAACCGTAGCCTGTGTACAAATGAATCCTTATCAGCTGCAGTGGGCGGCATTTTGTATCCAAACTTACAAAGTAACCTTGCAATGGAAGCAACACATATCAGGGGGAAAAAAGATAGGTAATCAATACAGTATCACACAGGCATATCCCCCCCTCTATGAAGAGGAGTTCTTCACAATAACAGGCAAGGTTTCACCCTGGGGGTGCAACAAAGACATGCCAGTGGTATTTATGTATCTATGAATATATCAGTTTCTATGCGAGAGGACAGACCTCCCAGCGAAAGTACTTAAAAACAAACGTGCAATTTCAATTATCCCAAGCTCTGCAAAAAGAAGCAAAGCTGCAGACTGTGCTCCTCCATTAATGTTATCAGATTTTTTCCTGGCTTATTAGCTTGATTCTCAAAAAGCAGCCACGTAAAAAAAATATTTCTCATAACATAGGCTATAATAGCCTATATTTAATAAATTGCATCCACCTGACACAAATATTTTATGACCTGTTAAATGTATTAGTGAGAACTATGTGACATACTATAGACTATGTGTATAAATGTCTTCAAAAGTCAAGATACCTAACTAAATCAGCCTATTTGACTATGTTGGACGAGGTATTAACTTGTGCATCAAATCTACTGAGATGTGTTACACAACAAGGTGATTGTTTATTTGGGCCTGCCACACTCACAGTGCTGAAAATTAAATAAGAAATGATTTCAAATGATTGGATCATTATAACTTGTAAATAAATGTTTTCTCTCTAATCTATTGTGAATAAAGCAAAAGTTAAAGAGTTTATTTTTCTGTACAATGTTGAAAAGGCTCAGATGACCGTGCTCACTAAGCTGACAAGATGAGAAATAGAAGAGTCAGAGAACTCAAATGCACATCATGTGATATACTCTTGCGACTGTGACATAAATCTAACGCACCTTAGCAGTAAGGTGGAATATTTAACCTGTCAATACCCTGCCCCCTTTTCTCCTCTGCTAGCTTGCAGCTTCACGGTGCATTAGCTAGCTAGCTAATGGTTGTTGGGTGTTTATCTTATTAGCTGTCGGCTTCAAACATGCACTTTCCAAAGATGGATTTATTCCACTGCATCACGTCACCAAGCTTGCTAACATCAGAAAGGTATGAGCTATTGCTAGTTGTTTGTTAATGTCCTTGCTGGCTTCTGATATGTGCTCTATGTCTTGTGTTTGTGCTGTATTTACACTCAGCTGCCAGGTTAATTATACACCTAACTAAAACTAATGAAGTGGGCAAACAATGGGCCTTTTTCACAGCAGACATTTTGACTCTTATTACAGAAAAAACACAGTAGTAGTTAATAACCTTATGCTCTGTTCCATTTACTGTTTCAGTTTGTCATGCTTGAGCACACAGATCTAATGAACCTGGGAAACCTTAATGGAGTTAATGTTATGGTTGATTGTAGATACTGTCATACCGGGAAAACCACAGGTGTCAAAATGTCTAACATGAAAAAGGCCTATTCATTTCTAGTAAGTTAGTGACTCAACTAACTTTTCCTTAGCTAACTTTTCTTTTGGTGGTTGTTTGGCATGTGTATTATGACACTTCCATACTAGACATTGTTAGTTGTGAAATATGACTAGTAATGTTTCAGTATTTTGTGTTTTTATGGGCTTCATTGGTTTGGAATAACTTATTTCCATTCCACGCTTTCCTGTTGGCTCTACAAGTCTGTAGCAAAGAGTAAAGTTCTATATTTGCTTTATGGATTGAATTTACAATTTACTTGTTATTGCACAAAGACCATTCTCTTTTTTTTTATTTTGTGGCTGTAATATTGTCTTCATTGGAATCTCAGCCATGCTTTTGTCGTAGTCTCCTTTTCCTCACACACTTCATATTTAGCTAAGCATTAGGATACAGAAATATGTCAGCTCACAAGCAAATGTTTTACTGCATGTGATGTTTACTGTACCTCATAAGTAGGTACAGTGAACCACTGAGCTTCTTCTTTTGTATGCTATATGCTACTGCCAACCTTGAACTAATATTGATGTCCTGATTGTCTGATGCTCATCAATGTTACATAACATTTCATAATTTAAAGGTCCAGTGTGTAATATTTCTGAAGATTTATTGACAGAAATGCAATGTAAGATCCATAATTATCTTTTCAGTTGTGTATAAAGACATTATATAATAAACTGTTATGTTTTTATCACCTTAGAATGAGACGTTTATATCTACATAACAGCGGGTCCCCCCTTCCATGGACGTCGCCACGTTGCATCTAATTCAGCACCGCTATTAAAGTATTTATTTTCTTTATTTTTTGCCACTATCAAAGTAATCACCATAATCTGGCTGTGGGCCAGATATTATTGTTGGCTGGCAGTTTTGGCGAGGATCCATAATAACAGAGAATGAATGTGTTTCCCTTGTCAGTATTTGCATAAACTTTATCGATTATGTGGTTAATAATGGACTGTGGTGCAGAAACAGTGTCAGTGTTTCACACTCTTGGCTTACTTTTTCCATGTTATCTGTCAGTGGCCAAGTCGCAATAACCTATACTTTTACTGAATAATTTAGTAAATATAATTTCTTAATAAATATACCTAAAGAAACCTCATTTCTTGACTGGCTTCTCTCTCCTGTCTCTGAAGGGACACCTTTTGTACTCAGCCACCGTAGTATACCCTTTGAAAGGGTTGGGGCAGTGGTAGACTGGAAAGTTGGTTGCAAATTACAACCTCACCACTAGATGCCACTAAATCTTACACACTGAACCTTTAAAACTGTCTGCTTCATTTCATAAATTGAAACTATCTGCTGGAAGTCATGAATTATGGCATTTAATATCCCTAAGTTGATTATTACCTGCTGCATCACTGATGTGTCTTAAGCTGTGCAGACATTGTGCATTTTTATTAATCTTTTACATTGTGTTAGGCCACTTGTAATCAACCATTCTCCACTCCAGGGGTGAAAATGAACTTTTTGGCTCACCTTCCAAGGTGTCACATTTGTTTCTGTTCTTTTAATTGAGATAATACGGTATTAACAGTGTTTTCTAAACTTACAAGATACATATTAATCATTCAACGTAAATCTCACCAATGCTCTCTCTTAAGTGCAATTTATACTTCTGCGTCAAATTGACGGCGTAGGTGACGGTGTAAGCTACGGGGCTACGCAGAGGCTACGCCGTCGCCTGACGTGCACCTCCTCAAAAATGTAACTACACGTCGAGTCAACGCGGACCGTAAGCTCTGTGATTGGTCGGCTGGGTAGCCTCGCAATGCCTCCGAGCCGACTGGAAGTACCCTATGTGAAATCACACACATTTGCTGGATAATGCTGCAAACTTTGTATTTCTGTATTAAGCAAAAGCGACTTTTATATGTGGATATTTTTTTCCCGCGTTGATCTCCGTATGAAAGCAGCTACACTCTCCCCTCTTTCCCTTTGCCCACCCCCTTACAAATCTATGCCAATCCAACACAAGTAACATGAAACGAACATAAACAACAACCAATGAATGCCCCTAATCCGTGTGTTACACAATTTTAGATCCTTTGGTAACCTTGGACCAATTTAAGTGTGACACACAACAAACAAGAATGCTCGTCTGCAGGTAGTTACTGTCAAATACTGTTATTATGTCGATATCATGCCGAATACATTTACCCGCCACTGTGGCGGGTAGCCTTCCAACCTTTAGCCACCAAAACGGAAAACCTACCCGCAATTGGCGGGTGTTAATTTTCATCTCTACTCCACTCCCTGAACCTGCAACTGCAACCAATTTAACTCTGAATGTAAGCACAGAACCCCCAGTGGTTTTGTCCACTGACAATTCCAGTAACGTTTATTCAAACAAAATAGCTGCATCCTCAACAATGTTGACAAAAAAAGAAGACGCGAAAGGGAGACTTACTTTGTGCAATCAGGCTGTTAGGATTGGCGATGGATCAGTGGATACGACACTGAAGATCTGGGTCCGATTACCACTGCCACATATCCACGAATGTGTCCCTGAGCAAAACACTTAATCCCTAGTTGCTCCGAGGCGTGTGACCTCTGACATACAGTAAATAGCAATTGTAAGTCACTTTGGTTGAAAGCATCAGCTAAATGAGTAAATATAAATGTGACTTTACTATGATCGGAAAGTAAAAAGGAAGATGTAGACAATATGGGCCGCAGTGAAATTCTTATGTTTATATCACAGATCAGTCAAGACTACAGTTTTAGCCACAACATGTAACCCCACCACTACTCTAATATTTTTTTAAAAACTCATTGTCATGTCTTTTGATAGCATAAGTGGAACTGCTCAAACTGTAAGATACCCAACCAAATTTCTGCCAGAAATTCATGCTATGGTGTGAGAGCCAAATTGTTGATCTTTCAGGCAATTGATCTAGTGACATGACCGCACTCAAACTGCATGTCAAATGACCACTCTGGCAGAAATTCAGCCCAATTCTAAAATCTGTACAGCGTCTGCCCAGCTTTAGCCTGCTGCTGCATATCAGGTGGATTGCTGCTTTAGATTTATCCGCCTCATTTCACTAGATGTTTCCCAGAATGAGGAGGTGCTTTGATTCAGAAATGCATCATTGTGGTTGGTGTTTGGCCCATATATAGTAGATTCTAAAAACTGGCGTGGTGGGGTCTGTATCTGGTGCTGTTTTGGGAAAAACTTTTATTATTGTCACCGTGTTGCTGTGCTGAGCTTGTTAAGAACATGTGATGAGGTCAGAGCCATGTTTTTACATGTTTTGTGTTCACATAATCCCAGCGAGGTGTCTGACTTTGAAATAGAAAAGTACCGAAAAATTGTGATGACTCGCACATCTTAATAATTCAACATATAGGTGGTCACATCATTTTAAACAAATTTCTGGACATAAAAGCCAATATAAGACGAACGATCGCTCCGTTATGTGCTCAGTTGTTCCAAGTCTTCAGCCTCTCTGTTTTCCAGACAATTAAACGAAAAGGTTTCCATCCCCAAGTTCAGAGCTCATTTAACCAAATTAGAGAACAAATTACATTAGTAATGAAAAGTAATTGAGCATCCTGTAATTAAATCCAAGACAAACGGGCCTGTCAGCTCCACTTTTATTCAACATTTGGCCATATTTAAGTTAGAATTCCCCCTTTGTCAAATCAAATTCTTTAAATTAAATGGATGTCTTGATAGCTGAATTAAGAAATGACTGTTTGATCAGCATCTTGACTTTCTACCTGACTCTTGTCGGGTTTTTTTTAATGTACGTTTTGTAGCACTTTCCTTTCTTGTTCACGTTATTACAGACTGTACTTTGCTGACCTGATTTTTGACTGGCTTCATGGCAATTTATCTGTAAATGACTGACTGCCTGCTTGCCTGACTGACTGATTGGCAGGATCAAACCAATTTAAATGTCTGTATGCCAGATGTGGCAGCTAACATGGAGAAAAAAAAGCAGCTTAGTCTTGAGAGCCACACTCACATCTGCTAATCCATCCTTCTATGGCATGCGTATCATGAAGCAATTAAGGAACAATTGCTTATAATACTCTAACAGTTTAAATGTGATTGCTAACCAGTTGTGGGAGTTTGGCAGGTGTATATTTATGATTGTGTGAATTGAATGGCCTTAAAAGTCCACAATTTACGGCTGTTTCTCTCTCTCTCTCTCTCTCGGTGGAGCTATGTAGTTGATCTGTGAGTGTTTTTGCCTCTTGAACAGTGTGAGGGAGAAACAAATTGCATCAACAGTTCTCTTCCCTTTAAGAGTGTGATGAATTCCCTGCACTCTGATTAGGCCATGCAGGTTTGTCTGGCCATTGCTCGACATAGACAATAAGCCCTAAAAGGCTTTACTAAATGGCCAGGGCGCAGTCAGTGGGGGAGAGAGATGAGGTGAGGTGGGATGGGGTGATGGGGGGAACCTGTCATAAAACAAACAAGAGTGGTAGAGGGAGCAAGAGAGTGAGGTGCAGCAGAGATGGAGGGGAGTGTGTCGTTTCCTGGAATAAGTGGCTTTAAATGGCTGTGGAAAACAGTTAACGAGTCTGACCTGTTGGGGAACCAGAGGGTAGGCGGCTGTCAGGTCAGGCATGGCAGTCTGGGCATCTGTGTGTGTGTATGTGCATGCTGG